AAACCTCGCGATTGCTGAACAAGAAAACGACACATTCATATTCCAATGCCGAGGTTAAGAGAAAGTCGATCTTGGGAACAGAGCTTTATCGTTTATTCTTATCCTTCTCCCCTTCACCATAGTCTAGAAAGTTGGGTTCAGATTTTATGAGTTCATTCCAACCGTGCTTAAGTTCGTTCTTTCTTTTGTTTCTTTTTTCTTTTTTCCTTTTCCGTCCTTCGCAGTGGAGTTGGACTTGCATGAGCTGTATACGCGGCTAACTTTGTTCTAAAGCACGGTATTTCCTCAATGTGTTGATTTTTATGGATGTCTTCTTTACCCTTAGATCGCAATATAGTGAGGAAGTGTTTCCTTCATAGAAGGCTGGCTATCGTCCTTATTATAGAAATGATTTTGTTTAATTACGAAGGTCAACTACGTGAATTTGTTCACAATAATTTGCGCTGTCAATATAGGTTCACTGATTATCGATCAATTATCGATCAGTTACCGATCGCTACTTATTGATTGATTATTGTTATTATTGTTTACAGATCCTCTTTATTTTTCTCTTTATTTTCAGAGTTAATGTGACGTTTTTCTGTGTAATTCGAACCCAATATGCGCCACGGGTTTCCTCTACACTTGTCATTAATTCTGTTGGTGTTTCGATTGCTACGATGCCAAATCTCGAGTTCGCTCGAGGTTCAGCCTAGTGTTGGAGTAGTAAGTTCTTTTCATCATTGCTAAAGATTATTAAGTTACCAAAAGGTTATTGTGTTTTCTGCAATGCAGAAGTACTACTGCTTCTAGAGCTATTTTTGTGAAAGGATACTAGTTGTTAATGGGAATACATTATAACTCGATACCGATTTTTTAAAAAAAATAACAGTGTGTCATTCGACGACCAATCTCATAACTTTATTTATATATTGCACTTTATTATATATATTGCATTTTGTATATTATATCTGTACATTGTACTTTATTTATATATTGTTGACACAACATTGATAAGTTACAGTACCTACATTTTATGTAAGGGGGCAGGTACCACAGTGGTAGTAAAAGCGATCATCATAAGCATGGTGCTGGTTCGATCTCGCTCTACTCTCACCAAGCCTGTCATGCCTCCGGAGTCCGGAAATTGGAAGTGGAAGTGTCTGTGAAAAGTCCACATTTCTGCAACCCAGGTTAGAACGGCATAGGCCGGCTATCTCAGGAATCCAAGGAGAATCTTCTCTACCAGTATTCTACGACATTCAAGATGAAATGAAAATCCTCAAGCAGCAACCGAAGCCACACGTAGAAGTTGGAAGATCTTCGTGCACAATGGATGCGAGGAAACGAATCGAAAGCGAGAAGTGCTGAGATCCGCAGAGTAGATGTGAAGGAGGGTCGTATAACAAAGAGTTATTTAATAAGTGATTTACACATCAGAAATATAATGTTTATCGATCTAAAATTCCAAGTTTTTATTTCACATTCAGTTATTGGATTCTAACTCTACTAACGACAATGAAATACTGATCAGCTATCTGGCGGCCGTGTCGCGACTGGACGAACAACCTGAAGAGTTCATGAAAGCGATCAGTATTGCACGGGTAATATTTGACAGGAAACATTTTCATGTTTATATATTCGTATTGATCCTGAGATAATTTCAGAACTTGGGTCCTAGGCCATATTCGAGACCGCAGTTCTCCTTTCCAGGAGCTCACATATTACCCACTGTACCATCGAGGTCTCCAGTGGGTAAAACGTGAGCTCCGAAAAAGTAATCGCGAGTTCGAAACTGGCCTGTGGTCCAAGTTTTACAAATATCTCAGCATCATTGTGGTTGAATTTCACGTAATACTCTGGTATAAAAGCATAATAGGCAGTAAATAAAAAGTTTTACATAGATTATTAAATCATTTGGCTTTTTTTTCAGACACATGCTTCGGATTCATCGTCCTCTTCATCACCATTTCATGACGAACGTGTTAAGCAGATCTACACTATGTTCAATTGTTTTAGTACTGATTTTGATGGCAAGTATAAGTATTTCTCATTGTATAAACCTCTATGGTAACATGTCAAATCGTTTAAAAAATTACTGGTTTACAGAGGTGTTCTTCGGAATCTAACTTGTTACTTGATACTTGAATGGTCCGTCCTTACCGGTTGTGCGGGGCACCTGCATAACCTCCTTTTCTAGGAGATTTGCTGGTTAAACCATTGTGTTTTCCTGGAATCCCGACGTCAGCCTGGCCAGAGTCTGCCCCATGTCTTCACCATCATAGGTAGTCACAGCCCTTGTGGATCAGAGAGACATTTGCCACCATGCGACTAGTTTGGTACTAGGATGGTGGTGGATCCAGGTATTGGTTACTCTTGACCTCTTGATGGAAACGCAGGACTCCTTGTCAGCTTGGGAGGCCCTGCAGGAGGGACGAATCCTCCGCTGCACATCGCAGTCCTACACCCAGGAACACCTAGCCACGATTAGACGGTGAACTGTTGAGAGACCTCGGAATCTAAAATGATTTTAATTTAGCGTTTCAGGATCAATGATATCTGGAGCTCTACAAGTAGCTGTAGATGAGATAAACGCTAATCCGGATCTTCTACCAGATCATCGGCTTAGCTATATCTTCGATAATACTTGTGGCAAAGAAAGACAGAGTATGTTTGTCTTATCCAATAAATAGTACACAAAATTACGTCGTCCAATGCTATTAAATTGGAAGATATTGACTAGATTTAAACGTTCATTCGGGATTTTTTTGGAATTCATCCACAATATGTCCTTACGTTAAAATACGTTTACCTAATTCCATAATGAGACTTTAAAGTAGACTAAGTTTTGCCTTCACTCTGTTTACTAAGTGGTTCTCGTCTATGAAACTTTTGAGATCTCTTGGCAAAGAACCGAACTAGATAATTCCAAAAAAAGTGAAATACGTGCCATTAAAACTTTCCTGCAGAGACCTGAATCCACTGTGGTGAGAACATCATTGGCTTGATGAATACATTTTGTTGACCAGAATACTCGGAGAGGTCACGGATATTTTCGTCCAAGTTATCAACGATGTTTATGCTTTATTCAAAAGCTAAGGCTCTAAAGCTCTCGGCGTTGATAAGTCCATGAGCGATTCGCCATACATTCGACTTCATTCAGCATCGTTTGGAGGTAATTGAATGCATATCTGGCTTTTACAATAACTCACGGTGGCCTACCGATGCATCGAACCAGTGCTGCTATCCTCCCAGACAAGTCTGGTACCAATTTGCCAACCCCGGAGGGATGGAAGGCTTGATGGGCCATGGGCGCTGGGATCGATTCCACGTTTGCGTTGCAGGGTACCTCCGACCACTGCGCCACACGTGTTCTTTGCTCTATCGTAATTGTGATAAAACATAAAGCTTTTAATGTCTATTAGTTCTGACTTTATTTGGTTGTTTTCTCTATTACGGTTGGTCTTTTATGAGCAATACTTGTTCGAAATTATTCAGTTACCATTTTCTCATCGAAGCAGATCGCGATTTAAAGCTCCTTATCGATTTCTCCAAAATCAAAGTGTCATTTATTAGGATATAAACCGCTTTTTGATGCCATCAAAAAAGCCCATCTTAATTAGGTCACGATTTTTTCACTTGATTTTTTTACACAAGATCATTTTTTGTCGGTTTGATCGTCTGCTTTAAAACTGTAACGGTTTCCCTTGATTCGACTCGGTGAGATTACGAGGGCTCACACCGTGAAAACGAGACGAACAACTGAGGACAATAAACTCTAATAAATCCGTCTCTGAAGAAGACCGAGTAAATGTTGTATAACAACCTCGTGTTAGCTTAATAATCTAAGGTGTTGTGCTGATTTTCTTACGCTAGGGAGTGGAACACAGAAATTTGTCCGATCAGTTGTTTCCTAACAGCCTTTGGGCCCCACATAGGTCGAAGCTGAGATTTTTCCTAACCATATTCGTCTCCTGTTCAGTTGGTTAGCGAATCATTTCTTCAATCACTAGAATCGTTTACTATCGAATGTTTTCAATGAAATTGGGAATTTCTCTGTGGTCGCTCATGGATGACCGACCAGAATGAATTGATTATACCTCTGGAATTGATACCACATTATGCGATGACGCGATGACATCTAGCAGGACGAACTTCTGTACAGGCCGTCCTTACTATTGCCTTGATGCGGTGCTCAAAACATTAAAACTTGGGATTGTCTTGTTTATATGTAAACAAAATTTCTTGACAGTGGTCGGGTTGAAACAGTACCATGCTCATGCATTACTACCTCTGCGTTACCATATTACAAATACAGTTCTTCGTTAGTTTTGATCGTGGCAAATTTCTCATTCGTTAGTCAGAGCTAGCAGTGTATTCCTTAATTTTACTAGGAGTAAAACATGTGATGTATACATTACGTTTTTATAGTATCTCCGTTGTAGAATTACTGACTTGGAAATGGGTATAGTGTGGTGGTTTCTAGGTACGCAGTACTTTATGGAACATTGGAAAATGGGAGCACGTGTTTTCATCGGGCCCGAAATGAACTGCCGAACAGAGGCAACAATGGCTGCTGCGCAAAACTTACCGATCATTAGCTACAAATGTAAGGATCAAACCGTATCCGACAAAAAAAAGTGAGTTCTTTCTTGTTCTTAAACTTAATATTTTTTTCATTTAAATATTTCGTGCAAGAAATTTTACTGATAAACCTATTGATAAGGTTTAACAACTCGGTAAAAAATCATAACTGATAAGAAAAATGTTTTACAGCAGTTAGTACTAAATTATACATACGAATTTACAGACATGTTCTTGTTACGACTTTCAGCACATGTTATGAAAGAAAAGGCAGTGAGTGCACATGAGAAAGTGCAGGATTTTCCCACAAATTAGATTGATACGCCGACGTATAGCGCAAAATCCACACATTCGCGACGATGCCTAATTTTTGGGTTGTTACGGACTTGACTGTTTTTTGAGAGTAGACGACATTTTCCCGATAACTGGAGTACTTAAGGAGTTTTGAGTACGACAGAATTATAGAAGAGACTTTGTTCTTTCGCTGAAGATGTATGTAGTTGTGTACGATACTGTTTACTGTGTGAGGTGCGTGTACCGCAGTGGTCGGAGGTGCCCTGCGACACACACGTGGAATCGATCCCGCGCCGATGGCCTATCAAGCATTCCATCTCTCCGGGGTCGGTAAATTGGTACTAGACTTATTTGGGAGGGTAGCAGCACTCGCTCGATGCATCGGTAGGCCATCGCGAGTTATTGTGAAGGCTACCAGATATGCATTCAATCACATCCAACGATGCTTGATGAAGTCGAATGCATGGCACATCCCTCAAGGATTGATCGATGCGGGCAGCTTTATCCTTTATGCTTTATACTATTGACTGTATGATTCTGAGGTCCACGATATAAAGATACTGATGTTAGCATTTAGAAAGTTCTGCAGCTTATGTCAGAACTATTTCTACATTTTTATTCACCACTCATTAATTGAAATAGCTGCGATTTATCATAATGATGAAAGTTGAAAAAGAGTGCAAGTCAAATTTTAAAGATGAACTTGTTGAAGGAAAAGTTGTTTCGTATATTTCCAAGTGCATAGGACAGCCTTTCCCGATTGGCGCCCACGACAACATCTAAGTTTGATAAGTTGTCGCTTAATTACAAAAAATTTAGAAAAAGAGTTTTTATGCCGAACTAAGCTATCAGAAACCAAGTGACCTTTATAGATGTCATACCGGCCACTATATTCCATTTCGAATGAGTAGGTGTAAAGGTGACCGAGCCAATAGATAATAAGAAAATCAAGTTGGAATATGATTTTCTCATCTCGTCCATGCTCCTCTTTTTTTGAATAACGTCATTACTGTAAGGTTGGAATATTTGAAGGTTTTTAAGAGAAACACAACAATATTTTCTATTTGGAGTTTGCTTTTAAAGTGTTTCATTTACCTAAACGGCATTTATTGAACATCTTCTCCAGGTCCTAACGTGGGGGTATTTGAAGGTATTATCTCAAGGTCCAGGCGATAGGGGTTTCTGAAAGCGTTATCTCAAGATCTATTAGAAAGTCTCTAAGGAATAGTTTTGTTCTACTGCAAGTTGCCTTAGCAGTTGGGTTGACTAAACAAAATAAGCACACAGCTGAGCTGCACCATCATATTTGATTGAACTGTCATAATTTAACAAACGTAATCCTAGTTCTCCAAACGAAGGCCTTATTTAGAACATTTTTGAAGTATTACTCAGTTCGTTTTAATTGCGCCGAAGAGATCTTTTGTTTGAAAAGATCTTCATAGGTACAACACGTTCGCACGTACGGTGCCAGCCGAGACAGATATTGTCAAGGCTTTCATCGCGTTATGTCGTGAGTACAAATGGAAGAAGTTTACCGTCATCTACGAAGAACATCCAGCTCATGAAGAACTTTATCAAGCGTTACAGGTGAAATTCTCTTCATAATCCCCTTTTTCAAAAGAATATTTGTGAAGGAATAAATTCAGTTTAGTTTTATTGGTACACTAGGTCCTAATGAAGAAGTCAACTTTGTTCGAAGTGAAATTCTTAAACAACTATGGAAGGCACTTTTTTACATTATTTCTTTCTGCTCTGCTTTGAGCAGCTTATCAATAGAATCCACTCTTTTAAGAGTCCTGTAGTACACATGTGATTGACCCCGGCGCTCGTGGCTCACCAAGCCTTCCATCCGTTCGGGGTCGGCGGATTGGTACCAGACTTGTTTGGGAGGTTAGCAGCACTGGCCTGATTCATCCGTAGACCATCGAGAATCATTGTAAAAGCCAGATATGCATTAAATCACAGCGAATGATGCGTAGTGGAGTCTAATGGATGGCGCAACTCTCAGAGATTTCTCAACGCCGATACCTTTATCCTTTTATCCTTTACAAAAATTTTATCACTGTTCTATGTCAAATTCCAGCAAGCGATTGATTTTGAGAATGCACATCTTGAGCCGAGTGATATTCGCTATTCGGTGCAGAACGTATCAAAAGTGGTTCGATTCAGTGAAGTTCAATCGGAGAAACTCATCGATAGCGTAATTGAGCAGACCAAGGATATAACAAGATGTGAGTGCTTAGCTAAGAGTGTGATTGCGCGTTGTTTGGGAAGGCGTTGTACGCTGATTTGGAAGTAAAACGGTTATGGAAGCTATGTATATTACAGTGTATGTCACGTTTGGTAATGTGCGTTTGTTCCGAAAAATTCTCATGTCGATGGGGAAGTTGGGTTTGACGGACTCGCAGCAATACTTGCTCATATATCTCGACGCGGACTACAATTGGTTGAATGTCTACCATGCAATGAATAATCATTTCTTTCGAAGTGGGTTACTATAAGTAGCTTATATATCAATGTGAAGTGGTCAGTATTTGTTGTATTTTCGTAGGATCCTGAAACCAATTACATTGTGATACCCTTCTAGGTTTCTCTGGCGTCGAGTAGGTACTTCAGAACTAATTTAGATGTTTCGCACCACTGAGTTGCTTCTAAATTCCGTAATTGTTAGTGGGTACGTGGTACCAGACTTCAACCGTAATTCTGACCTGTAATTTTGTTCATGAGGTGAGTGTAGCGCAGTGGTCGGAGGCGTCCTGCAACACACGTAGGATCGATCCCTACGTGCAAGGTTAACCAAGCCTTCCATCACTCCGGGGTCGGCAAATTGGTACGTGACTTGTCTGGGAGGAAAGCAGCACTGGCTCGATACATTGATAGGCCATCGTGAGTTATTGTAAAGGCATTGAATCACATCCAAACAATGCTTAATGAAGTCGAATGCATGATGCATCCGTCAGGGATAGATCAATTCCGAGAGCTTTATCCTTTACCCTTTTTGTTTGTTGTCTTAAACATTTAGTTCTTTCCAATCTTTCTAGTTAAACATCCTTATTAAAACTTATGCTGACAAATGGATTGAATTATCGCTTTCCTTTAACTGCGCAGTTTAAATGGTGCTGTTTAAGACACAATGATTGACCTGCAATCCTCATGGGACGTGAGCAATTCTTCTGACCATCGAATCATTGGTTATTCTCGAGCAGCGCTGGCTATCATTCCAACTCCAGTAGAGCTGAATTCGGAAAGGTGTCGCTAAACTCATTTATTTACTGCTTTATTTCATCTTGCGTCGTATTTTTTACGTAGTTGACATTTTCATTTAGATTCAAGAAGTTTTGGGAACAAGCTGTTAAAGATTTGGTTAACTTTGGAATCACTAAACATGAGCATACGTGGTCAATTAAGGTAAGGTTATTGGACGTGCATATTGATTTCTGAGCAATGTCAGTCATTTATTTAAGCCTTTACCTGTCACCTGTAATTTAAAAGCTTTAAATGGCAAAAAGAAATACAACCACAGCGATGTTGAGATAATCACAATCTTAACCCTTTTATTTACTGCCTTTTTCTTTTTAATGGCAGGGTATGTTGCGAAATATAATTCGTATATAATGCTGAGATATTTGCAAAACTTCCTTAAGACGAACTTCCTTTTGCTGTGGGAAAGACGAAACGAAGGACCTGGATGGTGTGACGGTGAAGTGCGCTACTCCCCGTAAACGACAATAGCGCGTTCGTTCCCCACTGCATACACCTGCGGTCCGGCTGAGATATTTACAAAACTCCGGACGGCAGGTATCAGCGGTGAGAATCGAACATGTTGTCATCCTTTCTGGGGTCTAACGTGTTTATCACCATACCACGGTGGTCCTTCGTTTCGCCTTTCTCTCAGGAAAAGGAAGTCCGTCTTAAGCTCATGCTTAGGAGACTTTCTTCTTTCAGAAATACTGTTATTTGTATACCGTATTGTGTATGAGTATGGCATATCGCAGTATCCCACTTTACCACCGTAGATCTCGGCCTATGTCAATAAACATTTAACATCCGTTGTTTTTTTTTCATTTCGCTGTTATACATTGGACAAAACAAGTACTTACTTCATGCTTGATAATTGAACGGCCCATCCTCACTGGTTATGCCGGCCACAGCATAATAACCATTTTTCGGAGATTTGCTGGTTAAGCCATTGTGATTCCCTGGAGTCTCGAGGTCAGCTTGGCCAAGGTCTACCCCAGGCCTTCCCCACCATAGGCAGTCGTCGCCTTTGTGGACCAAAAGAAAATTTGCCACCATGCGACTAGTTTGATACAAAAACGATGGTGGAACCTGGTATTGGTTCACTATTAGCTGGGCTTCCTAATGGAAGCGCCGGATCCCTTCTCAGCTTGGGAGATTCTGTCGAGGGGACGAATCCCCCTGTTGTACATCGCAGTCCGACACCCAGGAACACCTCCCAGCCACGATGAGGTGGTAAACCGTTGAGAGGAGACAAAATAAGTTTGATGTCTATTAGCTTCTGTTTATAACCAACGGTCTTTTTTCTTACGAACTATATTGGATGGCTGGAACCTAACTGGTTTTGTTTACTCAGTCGTTTGTTAAGTTAACTAATTATCCACCCGCTGGTAATTCTTCAGGTAAAAGAATTAGTTTTTAATAAATTCTTTGAGAAATATTGATCTCGAGTAAAACCCCTGTAAGACGCGTATAGCGCAATGTTCAGAGGCGCAGTGCAATACGTATGGGATCGATCCCCGCAACCCAGGCTCATGAAGCCTTCCATCGCTCACGGGTCAGCAAATAGGTACCAGACTTGTCTGGAATTATATCAGCACTGGTTCGATACATCGATAGGCCACCGCCAGTCATTGTAAAGGCGAAATATGCATCCAGTCACTTCCAACGATGCTTAATGAAGTCGAATACATTGTGCATCCCTCGGGGATTGATCAACGCCGAGAACTTTACCCTGTGTCCTTTTATATAAAATCCTTAGGCGGTAATAGTTAAGTCGTGGAACGATTATGTTGTGAAACTGCCTTTTTTAAATGTGTACGTCGATTTTACCTGCTTTTGCAGTTCTAAAATTGTTGTTAGAGGCTATAGACGCGTTATTTTCTTCATCGTTTAAGGTTAATCGATTCGCATGTTATTTGTATGATGCCATATATTTGTACGCGCGTGCATTGAACGAATTGATCGAGGAGACGTCAGAACAGCAAGCACATGGCTACGATCCAACAAGAGACGGAGCGGCGATCATTAGAAAGATTCTGAATAGAAAGTACTCGAGTGAGTTGAGTTAATTGGCCGTATACTAACATTCATTTAGATGGACATGCTAAGAATTTATGTTTGCCATGCCTTAACCAGAGCGGGACAGCGCAGTGGTAGTCGTGCTCGTTCATCACTAGTAAGTTTCTTCTTTGAGCCCGCCATTGGCTCGTCGTGCATCTCATCCTTCCGGGCGCGGGGAATTGCCATCAGACTTATCTGGATACAGTCCAGTCTTTGCAATCCACATAGAAACGCTCTTTCCCTACTATCTCAGGACTCTAAGGGGATAGACTCGATCAGCAAGCATTTACTGACATTTATAAAGAAGACGACAATCCTCATCCAGCAGCTGAATCCACATGCGAAGAGTTCGAAGTCTCTCGTGTATAATTAATGCGATCGAATGCAAAAAGTGCTGAGATCAGCACAGTAGATATAAAGACAGGTTGCGCTAAAAATATGCCTTAAACAAAGTCCAGCCATTATTCGAAGTTAATGAGATGTGCATAGTGCAGGACAGGGGGTTTGAAAGAGAGATTGATTCCTTAGGATTAGGAAGAGTACAGTTTCGTTCATAATTACTAACAACTGAGACAATGTCGAAATTTCTGCCTCGTAGCCGATCACTTTCTTATTGCTCCACTTTGCGAGATGCCCATACACCGCTGATTTTGCAATCGCTGATAGCTTTTGGTTAAGAGATCCGATGCTTTACTTTATTTTAGGATTTCACTTAGCCCATCTTATTATATCTACTGAAGTATGATCACTTTGCTCTGAACGCATGCCACTTAGCAGAAATTAGATTTACTGGCGAAAATCTGAGTTTTCCCTCTCCCTATTCAACTGGGGCTTAAGTGAACCGGTAAATACGTTATGTGGCGATCGTGTAAAATTCTCAAAGAAATGTAAAGGTAGGATGAACACAAGAATAAAAGAGGGCGATATTTAAAATTCGTTAAGAATTTTGCTCACATAGAGCTTAATTGTGTTCGCAAATCTTAGTAACTCCGAAATTAAAGAAGGTGCTTCACACAGAAACGTTGTTTAGAACCTTTTAGAACTTGCAAAGGGACTGATTTCTTCTTGTTTGGAGTTCACTACAAACATTCAGGTATGCAAGGTTTTGACATGCGAATCAATGCAAATGGAGACGCCAAGGGAAACTACACGTTATTGGCTTGGCAAAAGGTTTGTTTAATGGTTGTCAGTACGGTCTGCGAGACGTCTTAAGTCTGTCAACTGTCAGATCAGTCTTTTTTTATTAAAAAAATATTTAACATGTTGGCAATGAAACGTTATTTTCGTCAGCTGTCGTATACTTATCGATAAAGAACTGAGGATTTGATGTAGTTACAGAAGAGGCCTTATTTTATTGCCATTACATGCTGGATTTGTGCAGACCCCAGCGTAATCCCCATTTTTTCGGAGTTTCTCTGGTTTAGCCATTATGGTTCATCGGAGTCCCGTGATAAGCGAGGCCAAAGTCTGCCGCAGGTCGTCATCACCGCAAGCACTCGCTGCCCTTATGGATCAGAGGGAGATTTGTTACCATGTGACTAGTTTGGTATCAGGATGGTGGTGGATCCTGGTATTGGTTTATTCTTAGCTGGGGCTACTGTTGGAAACACTGGACTCCTCAGCATGGGAGGCCCTGCTAGCGGGATGAATTCCCCCCACTGTACATCTCAGCCCGATATACCAGGAATACCTCTCAACTACGATGAGGCGCGAAGCCGTTGTTAGGATTGCCATTATATAAATCAATTACGATTGCCTGTTATTTCCATTTAGTCATCTATCATCAGTCATCATTTAGTCACCTAGGACGTTGAAAGGATAAAGAAGGATAAAGCTTTCGGCGCTGGTCAATTCCTGAGGGATGGACCACGCATTCGAATTCATTAAGCATCGTTGGAGGTGACCGAACGCATATCTGGCCTTTACAATGCCTCGCGGTGACTTACTAATGTATTGAGCCAGTGCTGCTAACTTCCCAGACAAATCTGGTACCAATTTGCCGACCCAGTAGCGATGGTAGGCTTGGTGGGCCATAACTGCGAGGATCGATTCCACGTGTGTGTTGCAGTGGCGAAATAAAATGAAATAAAAAAATAACGTATAGTAGATAATTGCTGGATAATACATAACAATTAAACATTAGCCGGTATTTTCTGCAACAGGCAACAATAACGTGCTAATAAAGAAATTGATATAGAGGGCAAAAGGATAAGACGTACGGTTTTATCACTCTTTGAGGGATATTCCATTATTTTTTATTCTTTGAGATGATATAGAAAATCGGCACGTTCTCGATCATTCCTTGGATTATTCATTGGAATCGTTGTAGTCTTGAAAGAATCCTAGTAGCAAGGCAGTAAATCTCTACCCGATCCACATGGGACGGCTACTGTCAACGGCTAAGACCTTGGAATGCACTAAGACGGCTATCCGGGAAAAAAAAGTCCAGATGGCAATGGGGGAAAATAGACGACTCTCAAACCACGGTCGTATCTGCACACTAGATCAGCCACTTCTATGTCGAATAAAAGACAATAGAGCTAATAGAGAAGTGTTGAGAACATGAGGGCNCGCCCAGTGCTATTCAATCCCTTAACGACGGTATTCGCACGCATTCGACTCTGATAATAGCTTCACAGAGTATTTAGGCTATACAATGACTTGCAGTGTTCTGTCGATGTATAAACGGAATGTTTCTAGCCTCTCAGAGGAGTGTCTCATACAAATTTGATGGGATCCAGAAAGATGGTGGAGAGTTTGTTATGCCCACAAAGCACGATCGAACTAACAACCCCGTGAGTGCATTGGGGCTATACGGGATATACGCGCCCTTAATAAGTAATATGATCGATAACCTATTATTGCACCTTTTAAGTATTCAGATAAAATGAATTTTATAAAAACCTTCCACTTTTAATTCTGCACTTCCTTAATAGATCTGGATGTCTCCAAAATTTTCCTAACACCTCGTATTGCTTTGAGTGAGCTTTAAAGATATTCAACAGTAACTGCTTATTTGAGTTATTTCACCGACAACTGGTTTTTATAGCGATGATGGTACGAGCAGTTTAACAGATTTGTCATCAGAAATGTCATATCTGGAACAAAAACATACTTCCTCCTGGACGTAACTTCAGTTTCTGAAGGAATAGATAAGGATTAGGTTCTTTAGATTCTAATCATTTATCTCGGAATGCGCTATAATTTTCGTGCACCTACGAGTCATATATGACTCTTGTCGGCGGTAGTGTTTCAAAAACAATTAGTGTTCGAATAAGCGTCATTCAGCTCCAGATGTTTTATTCGTTTGAAATAAAACTTTGGCAGAAAAGTGGTCTTGCTTCGCATTTGCAGGTGGAGCCAGTTAGAACGAAGGACGACGGCAATTACTACCCACTCGACCACGCGCTTGACATCACTGCTATGTTCGTCGACGAGGGTGATGGGCAGAATAACATGCCGAAACTAGTGTAAGTTAAAGTTTGACTAGTATTGTTTAGAATAGAAGAGGATCGTTATCTCGTTATTGGTGAAGCCGGGACCGCAGGTGTCTGCGGTGGGGATCGAACGCGATGTTACTCTTTCCAGCGGCTAACGCGTTCACCACCACACCGTGCGGGTCTTTCGTTTCAACTTTCTCTCAGCTGGTTCTCTATCTACCCATGCCATCAGCAATCACCCCACTTTTCGGGTTTTGTTGTTGTGGTGGTGGTGGTGGTGGTGGTGCTGCTGCTGCTGTTGTTGTTGCTGATCAATGCGCCAATCAGCGAGCGTATCTCGTAGTGCGAGAATGCTACACACACACACACACACCCACACGCCTTAGTTCAGTTCTTAATTTCAGATTTCATAAGCCAATCATTTGGTTAGATGGGCCAACTCGAGACCAGCCATACTGCGGTTTCCATGGAGAGTTATGTCGGGACTATGGAGGTATGTAAAGAAAGCGTATCCATGCTTTCCTTCCAAGTATTCTATCATCCACCTATCATTGTTAATTCTGTCACCATATGTGGCTAGCTAAAGCCATTCAGAGGTCACATTCAGTATCGTATTTCAAATTCCGTAAGATACCACCGTAGTTTACCCAAAATCCTCACCTGTACCACTATGTTTCAGGGTACATTTCGGTCATTTCCTTCATGCTGTTTGCGGTTGTACTCATCGGTGGTGCGATTTCGGCTGGATTTATTTACAGGTTGATGAAAATAAGTTCTCTCTAAATGTTTGCTTCTGGTGCTCCTGATGCAGTACGCCCATATATGATGTTTTTTCTTCACAGAAGTCGAAAATTCGAAAAAGAACTGGCCATGATATGGAAAATCGAAGTGCGCGAAGTGCAACACCTGATGGAAGACAATTCGTCTACGATCTCCTTGTTTCCGGATGGAAACGATGTGTGAATTTAGGATTCTTTTTAGTCGGAATTTTCGGTGCATTGAGGTTAAAGGATTAAAGGTGGTCCTTCTTTTCAAATTTTATGTAGTTTAGATGGTTGACCATCCATGGTATACCGGTACAGATGGTGAAAAGAAGGGATCAGGTCTTAGAGGTGTGGCATACTATAAAGGGACTCTTGTTGTGTTGAAAGGTAAACTTCTACTTGAGTTGTTGACTAGAATTCGGCTAGCATCCACAACTATCGATTTTCAGAGTTAACCTTTTCGCGTAAACCGAGAGAGTTGACTAGGCAAGCGAAGATCGAAATGCGTGTTATGCGCCAGCTGACACATCCAAACATAAACAGCTTTATGGGTTAGTTTTGAAGAAAGTGTTTCGCACGTTTTCATTTGATTTTCATAGCCATAAATAATCGTGAGAGATAAAAATAGTAAAGTTCTCAGCGTCAATCTCTAATAATATCGCCGACGAAATAATGCGTGTAGCGCATTAGGGCGCGTGTAACGCAGTGGTTGGAGGTGCACTGCAATACACGTGGAATCGATCCCCGCGCCCATAGTCCACCAAGCCTTCCACCCTTCGTGTTCGACAAATTGGTACCAGACTTGTCTGGGAGGATACCAGCACTGGTTCGATACATCGGCAAGCCACGCGAGTCATTGCAAAGACCAGCTATGCTTTCAGTCACCTACAACGACACTTAATGAAGTCGAATGCATGGCTCATCTCTAGGGGTTTGGTTAAGGCCGAGAGCTTTATCCTCTATCCTTTATCTCCAGACTTTGTGTACAAGTCAGTAGTCTACTTACTATAGGAAGACTTTAGATTGGTAGATATTATGGTTGCAGGTATTATACTTTGTCCATATTCAATTTGCATAGTTCGTGAGTTTTGCGCAAAAGGCTCCTTAATGGATATTTTGCGGAATCGCGAATTCAAGCTCGATCATTTGTACATCGCATCTTTCGTTGAGGATCTCATAAATGTGAGTTCTTTTCACATTTCTCATCACATGCCCAGATAACTGTGGAGGGAATTCGCCACTCGCCGTCTTCTGTATCGAATATTTCTGTGATTTCTTCGGTCAAATAACGCAAGCAAGTGTTATCTTCTGCATTTAGGGTATGGTTTATTTGCATGATTCGGAGCTGAAAGTTCATGGGAATTTGAAATCGACGAACTGCTTAATCACATCGCGTTGGGCGCTACAAGTTGCAGACTTTGGATATCACGAGATCCGCGAAGGTCGTAAATGGGAAAGCGAAGAGGCTCGCGTAAGTCGTCAACACGTTTTTTTCTATCATCTGTAATTGTCGGCATGTAAGTGGCGCGTGTAGCGCAGTGGTTGGAAGCGTCTTGCAATACACATGGGGTCGATCCCCCGCCCCAGGCTCATCTGCCTTCTATCTCACCATGGTTGGCAAATTAATACTGGATTTGTTTGGGAGGGCAGCAGCACTAGCTCGATACATTGGTAGGCCACCGGAAGTCATTGTAAAGGACAGATATGCACTCAATCACCTTCAGCGATACTTCGAGAAGTCGAATGCATGGCGCATCCTTAAGGGACTGATCGACATCGATAGACTTATCCTCTTTTTACCACTTTTAAATATTATCACCAATAATTGTTGTTAACGATTGCAAAGGCAATTCCACTTTTCAGTGGATGAGTTATCTATGGTGCGCCCCAGAGCTTTTGCAAGAAAGCGAGCTGAAGTTTTGTGTTAAAGGTAAGGTGAAGGTTTCAGTGTGAATTATTCCTATTTGATAGGTGATAAGAGTTTAGGTACTCAAAAAGGTGACGTCTACGCGTTTGGAATAATTTTGCACGAGATTTTCACTAGACAAGGGCCGTTTCAGATCTTTGCTAAAAACGAGGTTCAGATATCTGGTAAGAATTCTTATTTCTTCTATACAGTACGGTCAATAAACATCTAATCTGGTCTATGGCATTATTTTGGCAAACTCGTCATCTTGGCTATCAAATAAGAACAGCGACAACCACCGGACTACCAGATTACCCCATTTCAGAGTTTGTCACACCAATATGCTTACTTACTTGTATGGCCTCTTTTGACTGAGTGTGCGAGCCGAGCATAGTGTGGTTCCCTGGAGTACCAAGGTCAACCTGGCCAAAGTCTGCCCCAGGTCTTCACCACCATGGGCAGTCGCAGCCCTTGTGGATCACAGAGAGATTTGCCACTATGCGACTGGTTTGGTACCAGGGCGGTAGTGGGTCCTAGTGTTGGCTTACTCTTAGCTAGACTTCCTGATAGAAACGCTGTGCTTATCAGCTTGGCGGATCCTTCTGGAGGAATGAATCCACATCTTCTACATCGCAGCCCAACACCCAGGAAAACTTTCCGGCCACTATGAGGCGGTAAACCGTTGGGAGGACACACCAAAATGAGTTTAATTATTTTGGGACTATGAATTAAAAAGATAACTTGCTCGGTTAACGAAGATTCAATCTATACTTGAGTTGAGATTTGTGAATTGAGTGATAACCGTGTTTCTTGATAGTTGGTACTTGAATGGTCCGTCATCACTAATTGTGCGGGCACCATCATAATCACCATTTTCCGGAGATTTGCTGGTTAAGCCATTGTGGTTCTCTTGAATCCCGATGACAACCTGGCCAAAGTCTGCCCCAGATGGTCGTGTTAGTGAACATAATTGAGTATGCCCCTACTGGGTTTATTCCTCGTTAAATTTTAGTCCTAGGCACAGTGGTTTCTAGAATGCCGTAGTTCCACTATGTACATACGAGTCATATATTATTTTGTTTTTTTTGTTGGTGTTCTGATTTCACTGACCTAACGTCTTCATTCCACTAATGAGGTTTCATGGAAAGCTACCTTTTTTCACCTACATGTTTTATTGTTTCTCCGTGATTTGCCGTATTTATCAAACTTTGTGCACAGAAATTGTCGCCCGTGTAGCTGGAGGCACCTGCACTCGACCAAGTCTTTCATGTATAGAAGGTCAGGACTACGTTACGGATACAATGCGTCTGTGCTGGTCGGAATATCCTGAGAATCGACCGGACTTTAAGAATGGTATTAAGCATAAGTTGAAACCGATGTTCGCTGGAATATACAAGCGAAACATTATGGTAAGTTCATTTAAAGACAGATTTCTTGACGCCGTATGGGTTATTTTTGTTTGTAACTTGAGCCAGACACTTGAGTACTTATTCCTCAAGGAATTTTGCAGGATCATATGATGGTGATGATGGAAAAATACCAAAATCAACTGGAAGACTTGGTTGACGAACGAACAGCCGAGCTGCGAGAAGAACAGAAACGCAGTCAGCACTTGTTACAGCGCATGTTACCCAGGCATGTTTCTTGTTTTCTTGTTCATCTTTTCTTTGAATTTTGAAGTAAAAATAAATGTTACCATCATAGTTTTTTTTTATTACTGTGGAAATTGTTGTAGAAGCGTTGCGCAACAGCTACTGGATGGGCAAGACGTGGTACCTGAGTCTTTCCCATCGGTTACTATCTATTTCTCTGATATTGTCGGTTTCACTCGGATTTCTGGAGAATCCACACCTATGCAGGTTGTATATATCCCTAAGTTTACGTGTATCGACTGTTTTATTTCTATTTGCTCTTATGTTGATCGTCATGATATTCAGGTAGTGACATTCCTTAACAAATTGTACACGAAATTCGACAGAATTATCCAAAAATATGATGTGTACAAGGTATGTTTTCAGCATTAATTATTGGTTTTTTAAACTTCATGAACTATTGCTCCAATACAAATATTATGATTCTGAGATATTTGCAAAACTCTGGACCGCAGTTGTCTGCGGTTGTGATCGAACACGCTATTACCCTTTCCGGTTGCTACCGTGTTCACCACCACACCATGCAGGACTTACGTTCTGCCTGTTTCTCAGCATTGTTCCAATAGATAACTAGCGACCGTCGAACTTTTTAGCTGTTTACATTAAATGTTTTGTTACTAGAACATTCCTCACGTAATTTGAAGGTGGAAACGATTGGAGATGCTTACATGGTTGTCTCGGGCGTGCCTATCTTCAAAGAGACGAGGTTTCATGCTAAGGAGATTGGTAAATCTTTTGAGTTTTAGAGTTTTATTAGCATGTAGTAATGGGATACAATTACCAGTGAGATACTGTCATAACGTCTATAAAAGATAAATGCTGTAATCGATGTGGGAATCGTTTGTTTCAGCTTTGATGGCATTGCGATTATTACGAGCTGTTCGAAACTTCAAAATTCCCCATCGATCGAGTGAGCAGTTAATGCTGCGGATCGGTATCCACACGGGAAGCTGTGTAGCCGGCGTCGTAGGAAAGACTATGCCAAGGTATTGCTTTAGCATTCTTATGATTATCTCTGAACAGTGTATCGGTTGTGTGTTTGCTAATTCAATATGTCGATCTGCCTTTTAAAGTCGTCGAGTAGGTGATTATCGTTTTTGCTAACTTTAGGACTTCTCTCATTGCAGTGCTCCGTCATTTTCATATCATTTATTGCTTCTATTGTTAAATATTGGGCATGCTTAGCACAGGGGTCAGTGGGGTCTTGCTATACACATGGGATCGATCCTCGTGCCCAAGGCTCACCAAGCGTTACATCTCTCCGGAGTCCGTAAATTGGTATCAGACCTGTCTGGGAGGATAGCGCAGCACTGCGTGATAGGCCACCGCGAGTCACTATATAGGCCAGGTATGCATTTAATCACCTCTTTCGGTACTTAATGAATTCGAATGCATGGCGCATTTCTCAGGGATGGATCAACGGTGAGAGCTTTTTTTACACTTTTATTATTAAATAAGAGGTTACAACTTTCTTCCACGAGAATTGGTTAGGTGCACATCTGCAACGCTGAAAGAACTGTCGCACTCTACTTAATTACTTGGACACTTGGACAACTCTCCTACCTGAGTTTTGTTAGCTTAGCCATTGTATTTCTCTGGAGTTCCGAGGTCTGCCTTGCCAAAGTCTGCCCGTGTCGTCACCACCAAAGGCAGTCGCCACCCTTGTAGAGCAGATGGGGATTTTCCACTATGCGACTGGTTTGATACCAATCCAGTGACGGACACTGGTATTGTTTTACTCTTAGCAAGGCTTCCTGATGGAAACGACAGACTCCTTCTCAGCTTGGGAGACGATGCCAGTGGAATGAATCGCCCCGCTGTATATCGCAGCCCGACACCCATGAACACCTCCTAGCCACGATGAGGCGGTAGACCGTTGTGAACATCGAACTATACTAGCTTCCCTAAACTACAGTGGTATTTTGGCAGCTGTGATGTTACGAACTGTTTTTTTCTTGACTGGAACCGTATTGTCTTAGAATGAAAACTGATTTTAAATTAAAATAACAAAAGCTAATGCAAAATGCTAATGGATGAACGCCAGATCTGCAGATTAGCTTGTGGTGCTCATTTGTGAGAAGTTAATGAAGTTGAACAATTTGCGAATTGTGATCAGCAGAGATACAAGCTTTTTTGACTTGTACATCAAGGCGCAGCATCTGCAGAAATTGTCTTGATTGATTAGCGGTACTCTTATCAGTAATAAATGATGAAGACATCGTTGGAAGAAGCAAAATAATTGAAACAGAAGAGATAAAAAGATAGGTAAGGTAAAAAGAGATAAAGCTTTCGATGTTGATCAATCCCTGAGGTTTGGGTCATGCTCTCGACTTCATTAAGTATCGTTGGAGGTGACTTAATGCATATCTGGCTTTTAAAATAACTCGCGGTAGCTTACCGATGTGTTGGGCCAGTACTGCTATCCTCGCGGACAAATCTGCTACTAATTTGCTGACTATGGAGTGATGGAGGACTTAGTAGGGTGTATACCTCGTGTACAGAGATCTCATGTGCATTACAGCGCGCCTCTGGCCACTGCGCTACACTCGCAGAAACAAAAGACCAAGCAAGTCTTTTCTTTTTGTTTTGAAAATAACGAAGAGTCAGCGCTGGACTCTATTTTGATACAAATGCGATGGTTACTTCTGAATTATAGATACTGTTTGTTTGGTGACACAGTTAACACGGCTAGTCGAATGGAGAGCAATGGAGAACGTAAGCGCTACTTAAGTACGGTTGTGGGTTGTCAACTTGATGTTGAGAAATTATCTTTCCAGCTTTGAAGATTCACTGCTCGCAGCCAACCAGAGATGTTCTAACGACGATAACTGGATTTGTTCTGGAAGAGCGTGGCACTCTTACGATTAAGGTCCGCTTGTGAAAACTACTTACACCTATATCAATTCTCTTGCTTAAGCATTTTTTGGTTATCGAGTGATTCAAACGAGTACGTTTGAAATATCCATTCGTCTTTGTGAAATACCACACATAGTCTTTCTGTGGGCTCCGTTTTTTCGCGCGTGACTCGTTGTTATTACTGTTATTCTTGAGGGTGCTCACGATAGCTTGCAGGATTTTGGAGCTGGGTTCAATTACTCGTTACTTGTCGGGCTTTACGATGGCAGAAATGAGGCTGTTTTGTTGGGAGCCACCTTTAGCCACCACTGGTGCCCTTTATCCCTTAAATTCGCTAAGGTTTAATTAACGGCATAGCATACTCATAAACATTTTCATTGTTTTTTTAGGGAAAGGGACAAATGACTACATACTGGTTATTGGATGCCGAAGGTTATGAGTTCTCCGACGACGAAGACTATGAAGAAGAGGAACCAACCCTTGCACCCGAGATATTCCCAAGAAATTCGACGTTCAGGGCAATGCGTGGCTCTGGATTTGGTCCGTTTTTTTTCCTGACGGCTCTTTTTATGTAACAGTGTTGCTTCATTCTGTTTTGCTAGTATACAAGTAGCTTTTTGCAGCACTGAATCGCGACTCAGCCGCATCGTTATCGGCGCAGAAGGATCAGTCGTTCCTGAAACGATTTATAGGGAACATAAGACCATCTGCTCAGGTGAAATTTTGACCGGCTCCGTTATAGCTACCATAGGAAGTGAACTTGAGAAAATGTTGATCTTCAGACTAGCGAATCACAAGCGGGTGCATTTTACTCAGCAATGAACGGTGTTGTATCGATGGGTAATTCGTATAAAGAACTGCCAAGTGTTCATGAAGAGGTTTCACCGACTATTTCCCGACAACCGACCCTTGGTTCTCACTACAAGTACGCTATTTTAGTGAAACACCATCACCAATGTCATTTACAACATCACTGATGAAATCCTGTCTAAATCGAGAGAATTGAACGTATTTCCCTTCCGAATCATTGATTAGGTGACAATTCATTCTGTGAACGACCAGGCGCTGATCCGTGTCAAATGTGTAGCGTTTTTCTTAGTAGGATTAACCTTTGCCTAAAACATCACTTTCTAATATAAGTACTCCAATTTGTAGTTCCAGCATCCGACAACCACCGTTTTGTTTTGCGAGAAATTGTTATAATCACGTGAGTCGCTTGGGATTCCATACCGACAACGACGTAGCATTAAGGAAGAGGTGAGTTTTGGTTTCTTTTAGGTCTATCTAATACTCTTGTTCTAACTGGATGGTACGGGATGTCTGTCGACATTTGCCACTTATAATGCTTATATTATAATGGTATTATGAAGAGAACCCACATCTGCAAGATATTTGGATACTTAGATGGCCCTTCCTCACTGGTTGTGTGGGCTCCAGCATAATTTCCACTTTTAGGAGTTTACCTGGTCTAGCCATTGTGGTTCCCTGGAGTCCCGAGGTTAACCTGGCCAAAGTCTGCTCCAGGTTGTAACTATCGTAGAGGGTCGCCGCCATTATAGATCATAGGTAGATTTGCCAGCACGAGATTAGTTTGATACCAGAACGGTGGTGGATCCAGGTGTTGGTTTACTTTTATCTGGGCTCCTTCATGGAAACTCTAGGCTCCTTCCCAGCCCTGCTGTAATCCCCCCGCTGTACATTGCAGTCCGACACCTAGGAACACCTCCCAGCCACGATGAGGCGTTAAACCGTTGAGAGACATCTAAAAGGTATGGGCGAAAAATGAAAAATCACAGTATTCATGGGAAAATAGAGCTGGTTTGATCTTCGTCACTTTTAAACATTTTTTATATTTTCATTGTGAAATAACAGACATTACAACCCACCTTCCACAGCCCGTATACCAACACTTTGTTCGTCACATTTTAGGTGCTATTTGTTCCTTCCATTCTTCAAGTTCACAATTTTAGGTCCTCATCACTTCCAGACGGTGAGGTGCTCAACTTGGACGTACTGGCACCACCGGCTGCGGCAAATTCTACTGCTCCAGTTTCATCTTACTGTTCCCCTAATATAAGAAGAAACACGAATGAAACGAGGTCGGTCGTTCCAAGATGCATTGGGCAGGAAACTTTTCGGCGTTTGCGTAGCAACTTTCCTTTATTTCCATCCGTTGACTGTTTTGCTTAGTTTTTTCTGTGTTTGCAATGAGAAGCCACTCACTCATATCTTTCTAGTACGCTTTTCTAAAGCATGTGCGTAATATCGACGTTAATTAATGCCGCAGGGTGTATTAGCTTACTGTTTGCTTGAGTTTGAATCGCCTTTTAATCATTGATGCATATTCTCCTTTACTACGAAGGAATTGCAAAGTTGACGATTACTTACTTGGATACTAGGGATGGCCCATGTTCACTAGTTGTGCGGAACACAGCATAATTTCCATTCCCAGGAGATATGCTGGTTTAACCCTGGAGTCCCGAGGACAGCCAGGCCAAGTGTGCCCCAGGTAATCACCTACCATAGGCAGTGTCGCAGCCATTGTGGATCAGAGGGAGGTTTGCCACCATCCGACTAGTTTAGTACAGTGGTGGTGGATCCTGCTATTGGTGATCGAATTTGACGGTTACAAGCCTTTAATTAATAAATTAGGGTCATTAGTGCAGCCGAAGTTCGATGAACTTGCAAGGAATCGCATTTTCTCTTGTATATTTTAGTTGATGGTACTCTCGGTTGGAAGATACATTGTATCTATAGGAATTACCTAATTCTGTTTGTGTTATAATGCTGAGCGGTTTCTAGAGACATCCATTTCAGTAGTTCCAGAACAATGCAATCAGTATCGCCAAGCCCAAGCCAGTATCCTTCATATAAAGATTTCGCTAACCTTCCCGCTGTTTCAAGGTGCTTATTGGGAACTTTTTTGTTTCTCTTTGTTTAAGCTTATTTTTTCTGAGCTATGATAGCGTCGGATATTGAATTTACTAATGTTTTCGCTGCAAGTTTTTCATTTTAGATTCTCATAGTCGCTTAAATTCATGACTGGATTTCTCTTTCCTTGTTTGTTACTCCATTATAAGCAAAAGACTAGTCGTAATTGCTTGCGGAGTAGACTCTGTTAAATCTCAGGTTAATGCATAAATGTTTGATTGCAAACGTTACTTGGGTTAAATTCTCGTTACTTGTGGACTTTTGCATCTACGTTGTCAGTTTTCTTGAGCTATTTTTGGTTACATTCGTCTAGAGCCTTTCCAAGAGCACCAAGGTTCAAAACTTTGTGACATCATAGCCGTTACTGCTCGCTTTTTATACGTTTTTCATGTGCACTTGAGAAACATGTGAAATATCAGTAGTTATGTGAATCAGTGGCTACGCATTTTGCCCATTAATTCTCTGTGTAAGCCACTGAAGAACATTTTTGTTGGCTAAGCAGAAAATTTGGAAACCATTTAGGTTTTCTGCTGACTATTACCTTTTTTCTTGTAAATTTTTGTCTGGTGCCTTAAAAGTATGCTTATGTTTGTGTTATGTGTCCTCGGTTAGTAACGGTAATCATCTTACTTTTAGGAAACAAGGGATGGGATTTACTGTACGACCTTCTAGAAAGCGATCTCTCTCTGTTGGTGACAATGTGGCGCTACCGTATAACATGCTGGCGGCTACATTCAACGATGTACCAACTACTAAAGTTGGTACTTACGACCCGTTGATCAGTCCACGAAAATCGAGACGTCAACGCCGCAGATTCAGGAGCAAGGTAAGGGGTTCATTTTTCCAAATAGCTTAGATATACTAGTTTATGAACGTCACCTCTGCTGGTATTGGTGCAACGACTTTCAACTTATTTCAGTCAGCATGAGTCATATATGAAACCTTTTCTTACTTGTTGTTTGTTTTATTCAACAAGCATTCTAAATTAATGGTCTTTTACTGAGTGCCGATGGCTTTTCTAAAATATCGTTAAGGCATACTCGAATATATGTGTTGATTTCAACGCATGTGGTCGGTCTGTAAACAAAACGAATATTTGTGAAGTCGCAGTAAGGTGTACTAATCGAGATAGAATCCATTACATTATACACAGAGGTGGGGATAGCACATTGATTAGTGATGCTATTGATCAGCAAATAACGGCATTAATTCGATCCCCGCCTCAACGCTCTCCTCCAATGCACGTGACAACGCCTTAGCCCGGCTGCCTCCAAGGTTGCAAGGAGAATTGACTTGAACAGCACTCTACGACATTTGTAAAGATGACGAAATCCTCAAGCAGCATTCGAAACAACACGAAAAACTCCAAAATCTGACTTTTTATTAACCTCGGGATTGATTGAATAATTCTTTCTACTTCTGTTCAGCAAACACGAGGTGTTACTTTATTCCTTTATTTACGTACAAGCTCACGTGTCGGCGGATTTCGCCTTCCTCAAAACCTGGGAAGGTCAAGTTGACTACAATCTACATGGCCAAACACCTCCATAACCAAACAGAGCAAATGCTGAAGCAAAATTTCAATCGCATCGAACACAGAGTCTTTGCACACTCATCGCTTTCTATGAGTCTTCCAGAATAAATATGTCACATGGAGACCAACCGCACAGAGTTCACACGGAATCGTATTGTGCCCATCTCATCAGGATAACAGGCTTATATACTGCCCAATATCACGCGTGATAATGAGGCATTCCTCCCTGCGTTTCATTTTCGGATTCTTGGAATTAATCCAGAAAGCCTCGAGAGTTTTGCGCGCTTGTGTTCTCTATTCCTGTGCGAGGATCGTAACCGCCTTCTACAAATAAGCGCGCAAAACTATCGAGGCATTCTGGATCAATTCCAAGAATCCTAAAATGAACTACAGGAGGAATGCCTCATTATCACGCATGATATTGGGCAGTATATACGCCTGTTATTTTGATGAGATGGGCACAATACGATTCCGTGTGAACTCTGAGCAGTTGGTCTCCACGTAACATATTTAGTGGAAGACTCATAGAAAGCGATGAGTGTGCAGGGCTATGTTAAATGTGATTGAAATCTCGGTTTAGCATTTTCTCTGTTTGGTTATGGAAGTGTTTGTTCGTGTAGATTGTAGTCAACATGACCTTCCCAGGCTTTGGGGAAGGCGAAATCCGCCGAAATGTCAGCTTGTGCGTAAATGTAAATAAGGAGATAAACCTCATGCTTGCTGAACAGAAGTAGAAAGAACACGAGGAACGTTCGAAGACTTTTGTGGACGATGAGTGCGAGGAAAACGAATCGAATGCAGGAAGTACTGTGATCCGTACAGAAGATGTCATGATGGGTAATGTAAAAGAAAACAATATCACATTCTTCCGAAGAAGGTATAAGTCTTCTTATTGTAGCAAGATGGAACTCAACTTTTTTTTCTTTTGGATCTCACGGTTTTTTTTGGTCGAGTCTGGAATTGAGCAAGTGGGATTTCGTTCAGCAGTGTTTCACGATAATATCCTCGAAATTGAAAATTTGGACTGCACTTAACATTTTCATGTATATGCATGTTTATGGGACAAAATTTGCTTTTTTTTCGAACGTTTTTCTTCTTTTATTGTCTTTT